TGTCAAGGAAAGAGTTCAGAGTGGACAATTGTCTATAGAGCACATCGGTACAAACTCCATGGTTGCGGATCCGCTTACTAAGGGATTGCCACCCAAAGTGTTTCATGAGCACACTGCTCATATGGGTGTTATGTCATTAAAGGATATTCAGTTTTAGTGGGAGTTTGTAATTTAGATGCTTCTACGATATAGACATATTTTCAGTTATTTCAGTTTATGGATATTTTGAGGTTATTTTCTGCAGAAATAAAGTTTTAGTTTATTCACACTCTGATTTTGGTATGGTTTAATCTCACTAAGGTTTAAGGTGGACCAGTTGGAAATAGGCATGTTAAGATCACATTACATGAAATTTCCATGCTACACATTCACTTCATGATCCATGTCATTCAGTTGTATTGGCATACGTGACCATTGATGGGTCGAGTTACGACAGTTGTAACGAATGCCGCTTTGATCCTATATTGGTATGATTGATGGACCGGATTGGTTACAGATACATTTCGGTAATGACAGCAAAGTTGAGCTCATACGGTTATTTTTGCAAAGCATAATTATAAGGTTACACATATAGCCCAAGTGGGAAATTATTGGATCCTTAATCCAACGTTAGGCTTATATGTGAATAATTATGTGTTGCGGGCTGTCATATAAGGTTAAGCCTAATTAAAAGTGATCTACTAAGGTTTAGGTATTTTAGGCTTTAATGTATCTAATAGGGTGTGAACCTTTAATGTGTAGAGACTTAAGGGTAATTTCTATTTTTATGATGGGATAAAATAGAAATACTAAAAGATAATAGGGAAGTTATCTATAAATGGCAGTTATGGTCCCCAGATCACACGTAGTATCATTTCATTCATTCTGACATCTCATCATCAGAAAGAGTACAGAGAGAAAGTTAAAGGGTTCTCTAGGAAAACGTGTTGATCTGGAAGACAAACTGCACGACTCTAGAGAGAAATCAAGCAATATGGATTCAGGTACGCTTCCGCTTACAGATGTATTAATTCTTGATGATCTAACATGAATGTTCTTGGCTTTTTGGTGGTGGTTTTCACTAAATCTTTGATTTCTAACAGAAGAATGTGGAGCCGATGAGGATTCTGACGAGGATGAAGAGGAGGCGTTGCTCTTTGAAGAGGTAGTTGATGGATTTGGGGAGAGATCTGGCAGCGGCAGAGGGCTTCAGGGTTTTGGGAGAGTATGGCGAGGTCGCCGCCGTCCCTGCTGTAGCAGACTCCTCGTCGCGGCGGTGGCTGACGGCGCTCGATTACTTGTGTAATTGCTTCATGATTTTGGGAGAAATTTCTATGACCTATTTGAAGAACACCAGTGAAGCAGAGATTCGAGCTCTGAATCGAATCGTACGAGTCGTTACTTCTCCATAACCATGTTAGAGAGAGAGAGAGAAGGAGAGAGATAATAAAAAAGCTGTTCGTTTCAGTGGCGATTTGCGATTTGGGAATTGGAGTAATTGCCAAGGAAGTTCTTCGTTTTCCTTTCGATTATTTTTAATTTTAGTACACCAGCGGATTTGTTTGAATAATATAACAGCTACAAGGGCATTTTCATCAATCTAGCTAAAAGATGGGTCACGTGATATCTCACGTGCACTGTGCCATTATATTTTGGACGGCAATTGACGGTAGGGATTACATTGCACTTTTTTAAATAATTTGAGGTTTGTTTTGTCAAAAACAAAATTTAGGGACCAAATTGTCACATTTTAAAGAGTTTGAGGACCATTCGTTATAGCATATTTTTTAAAATAGGTAGATTATAGTCAAGTCCACTATAGTCAAGACGGCGGCCGACTCTGACGACTAGAGACTATTTTTCGGCAACCTGTGACCGTTTTTTAGCAACTGGTGACCGTTGTTTGAGGACTGTTTTCGGTGACCGTTTAACACTGTATTTACTATTTAATATCGTATTTACTAGTAAAATACCATATTTACTAGAAAAGTTGTCCACCGATTTCGGTGACCGTTTAACGCTGCATTTACAAGTAAATATCGTATTTACCAATAAATATCGTATGTACTAGTAAATATCATATTGACCTGACAATTTGGCCACCGACTTCGGTGGCCGTTTAACACTGTATTTATCAATAAATGTCATATTTACTAGTAAATATATAGTAAATAATGCGACTATAATTAGGACTTTGTTTTTAGAAAAAAAAAAGAAAAGAAATTACAAGTATGTTATCTTATTATCTCAAAAATCTTTCCATAAATACCCTAAACTAAAATAATATTTGAACGGCAACAATATCTACATTTAAGGCCGTTTAGTTCATTGATTTGAGTTTTTAAGGCCTCTGCCCACTATTTGGTGCTGACCAGGGTAGAGAAAAAAAAACCACTGTCACCGCGAACCAAAAATTGCCTCTACAACGTCCAACCAAACAAAAATAAAACCTACAAACAAAACTAGCAAAATCAGAAAAAGAAATCATCGGCGTCGTGGCATGAACGCAGGAGTGGCTGAAGAACACGACGAGATCACTGAATCTCGTCATGACGTCATGAATCTCTGTCTGATCTTATTTGAGTAGCCAACGTGATCAGATATCAGCATCTTCGTGCTGGTTTAAAGGAGATTTCATTGGAGGTCGTTACTGCCGGAGGAGATTTCAGAGGCAGTTGTTCACGCTGGTTCGGAGATTTGGCCGCCGACATTCGCTGAAAGAGATCTCTAGAACAGAGCTTGGATATGCACTTCTAGGGAGAGGTGCTCACCGGTGTTTGTTGAAGGAGAGAGAGATCGAGAGGAGGAAGAGAGATCAAGAGAAGATGGAGAAAGAGAGAGAGAGATCGAGAGAGATTGAGAAAAGATTCTCTATACAAAAACTGAGGGTAAAATTAGAAATTTACTAATTATTTTAAAAAAGAAAATACAAATATGTGATAATTTGTTAACTTTAAAAAATATGCTATTTACTCTAGATATGGGTATTAAATATGTTATATTGTGTATTTTTTCTTTTTATTTTTTTTCTTTTTGAGGAAAATTACATATATTAGACTATTTGTTGTTATTGGAAGGAATGATGGCCTTATTTATGATTTGTAGTGGGGGCGTCGACATTGTCTATGATTTGGAGTTTGGACTACGACTTTAGTTCGGACTATAAGTACTTTTTATATTTATATATCTGGGTATTCTTTTTGCCGATACCATAAAATGTTTTAACTTATAACTATGAAAAATAGGACTATAATTAGGTCTTTGTTTTTAGAAAAAAAAAAAAAAGAAATTACAAGTATGTTATCTTATTATCTCAAAAATCTTTCCATAAACATCCTACACTAAAATAATATTTAATCGGCAACAATATCTACATTTAAGACCGTTTAATTTGTTAATTTGAGTTTTTAATTCGAGTTGAGATGTGATTTAATGTGAGAATTTTTTTACTATAACAAAAAAGTTAAATGTGACTATTTCTAAGAGTTTTTTACAATAATAAAATTTAAATTCTAAACTCGACTCGGTGAAATGAGCAAACATTTAAAGTGCACGCAGACTAAGCACCAATGCATAACAATATGTTAGTATTCTTTTTTCTGATATTACAATTTTTTTAATTTATAACTTTGTTTTGTCTTCTAGTAAATTGAATACTCCATACGTATAGAAAGTACTAATGTATTCAAAACAGAAAAGAAAATACATTAAGGGCCCGTTTAGTTCGCTGATTCGAGTTTTTAATTCGAGTTGAGATGTGATTTTATGTGAGAGCTTTTTACTGTAGCAAAAAAGTTAGATGTGATTGTTTGTGAGAGCTTTTTACTGTAGCAAAACTCGAATTCTAAACTCAAATTAGCGAAATGAACGGGGCCTAAATCGAATCGAATAATCAAATATTAAGGAGGAGGAGTTTCTCAAGTAAACAAAAGAAAAAAAAACAATTTTAACCAGCAAAAAAAAAAAAAAAGAACTAATAATTTTCAGCTTTTGCAGTTTGCTTCCCGCTAATACAAAGCACTTTTTTTCTGCATTGAAAAAAAAAAAATTTACTTCAGAATTACTCGGAATATATATGTGTATTTATACTACAAAGATACCGAAAAACGACATCTATTTTCTTCCACCTCTAAACACAACGACACTCACACTACCTAAAAAAAAAAGGAAAAGACATGGTGCTTAATTTCAACATCGTTCTCATTTAACGACATGTCGCTTAATTTCATTGTCGCTTTTCCTTTAGCAGAGACGATGTCTACTTCTACGGCCCAACTTATTTCTGTCTGTCTCGCTCATTCTTATCTGTGCTTTTTCATCGACTATCGGACCAGAGCTTCTGTCATTCTCTCTCCCCAAACGCCGACCCACTTGCCCACCGTCTCTCTCTCTCCCTCTCCCTCCCTCTCTCTCTCTCTCTCTCTCTCTCTCTCTCTCTCTCTCTCTCTCTCTATATATATATATATATATATCCTTTCTCAGGCTTCTACCAGGTATGTCTATGGCTATGTCTGCTCTCTTCTTGATTGCATGTCGGATGCTATTATTTTCAAACCTTCTTCGTATCTGTCACACTCTCTTCAAGCTTTATGCATTTCTTATATTATTTGTTTGTTTTTCAGGAATGTTGATGTTGAATTTGTATTTCAAATATTCTTGTTGTTATATTATGCATGAAAGTCAAGAATTCGGGGCTTTTGTAATGTATTTAGGTATTGTTTTAAATTTTAAAAATGAGGAGGTAAGATTGAAATGCAAGTGATTTAATTTCCAAGAATTTCTGAAAATGGTTTTGTTTTTCTTTCTTTTTGTTTTTGTTTTTGTTTTTTTGTTTTGTTTTTTTTTTACCAAATTTTGTGTGAAATGTTAATTTCTGGGTTAGGAACAAGATTTGTTTTGGTGGACCTATTGACACTAGCAAATGACACCCTTTTGGGATATGAATCATATGATGATATATTGCCACTTTGTTCAATTGTTTTTGAAGGGGAATTGGGAAAAATCTATAATCTTGAGTTTCCTTTCTGTTAAAATTGAGCAGAGATATAGTTCCATTCTACTGTAAAGTTAATTACTTATAAAAAAGATTATTTCCTTTTGCATAGTAAACCAAATAGACAAGAATGGGGGAAGAAGAAGAACGAGAGGAAGAAGCTCAGCGGCTGAAGTCTCTAGCAGAGGCCAAGTACAAGGACAACAAGCTCAAATTAGCTCTCAAATATGCGAAGCGGGCCCTACGCCTCTGCCCGAATCTCGATGGCCTCTCCGCGATGGTCACCTCCGTTGGCATCCTGCGTGCGGCTTCCAAATCTACCGCGGTACCCGAGTGGTACAAGATCCTTCAGGCTGAGCCATTCTGCCATTTCAACACCATTAAGAAGCAGTACAAGAAGCTTGCTCTCCTTTTACACCCGGATAAGAACCCCCATGTTGGTTCTGAGGAGGCCTTCAAGCTTGTCAATGAGGCGTTTCGATTCCTTTCGGATAAAATTAGGCGCAAGGAGTATGATATGAAGCTCAGGATTCAGATTCAGGATGAGAAAATGAAGGAAAGCGAGGAATCTGTTAGGGGGGATACGTTTTGGACTGCGTGTTCGACGTGCCGGCTGTTGCACCAGTTTGAGAGGAAGTATTTGGGGCATAATTTGGTTTGCCCGAGTTGTAGAAAAAGCTTCGAGGCCGTCGAGGTTGGGACTGATGAAGATGGTGGTGGGGAAGATGGGATTAATACTGTTGGGGCTAGAAGTGAGAGACCGAAGAGGAGGAGTTCAGGGGATGGTGAGGGAATAAGCCCTTCAATTTCTAACCTGAAAATTGGTGGCGTTCGATCGGGGAGAAGAGTGGTCAGTAGTGAAAAGTCTAAGGGAAGGGCAAAGACTGAGGAATTGAAGAGGAAAGGTGAAAAAGAAATTGGAGATTTGAAGAAGGAAGCCAGTAGTGGAGAATGGAGTAGTGGGAGATTGAGGAAGAGAATGAGTAGTGTTGGGGAGATCATGGAGAGGTCTGAGCCGAAGAGGGTCAAAATAGATGAAGGGACAATGACACTAGCCGAGCTTCAGTCTCAAGTCAAGCAAAAAGCTCGGGAGCAAAGGATGAGATTGAAGTTAAAGGAGAGGAAAGAGAAGGATAAAGAAAAGGAGGAGAGGAAAGAAAGGGAGAAGGAGAATCAAAAGGAGAGGGAGAAGGAGAATCAAAAGGAGAAGGAGAATGAGAAACAAAAGGTGGAGAAGGAGAAGCATAGAGAACAGGAGAAAGAGAGGCGTGAGGTTCCAAAGCGCAACAGGAATTTGGTGGCTGAGAGAGACTCGGTGCTAAAGAAGAGTAAGGATTTAGAATTGGTAAACCCTGCGGCGTCGAAGAAGAGTTTGCGTTCAGGATTAGAGAGGTGTAGAGGGTCAAGAGATAGTGATACAGAGATAATGGCGGTGGAGGATTCCGATTTTTATGATTTTGATAAAGACAGAGTTGAGAGAAGCTTCAAGCAAGGACAGGTCTGGGCTATATACAGTGACGATGATGGGATGCCGAGAAATTATGGTTTGATCGATGACGTTGTTTCTGTGAATCCTTTTGAGGTGAAGCTAAGTTGGTTGGATCTTCAGAGTAGTGGAGATGAGGGACTACGTTGCTGGGAGAGAATGGGGTTTCATCTCTCTTGTGGGAGATTTAAAGTTTCTAGGAAAACTTCTATTAATTCTTTGAATATCTTTTCTCATGCTGTGGATTGTGAAAGAGCAGCTAGGGAGGTTTTTAGGATTTATCCGAAGAAAGGCTCTATCTGGGCACTTTATAAGGAGTCAACTTTTAGCAGAGAAGGAAGAAACCTTTCTGTTAGGGACAGAAGGCGCTACGACATTGTTGTGTTCTTAACAACATACAGTGAGATGCACGGTCTTAGCATGGCGTATCTTGAGAAGGTTGACGGGTTTAAGACGATATTCAAGAGACGCGAAATTGGTTCCCATGCCATTAGGTGGCTAGAGAAAGATGATATTCGATTGTTCTCGCACCAAATTCCTGCAAGGAAGCTCTCTGGCGATGAGGCTCCAGAACTTTCGAAAGATTGTTGGGAGCTTGATCCTGCTTCTCTTCCTGCAGATCTGCTTTAGAGGTTTTGATGGGGATATTTTGGTGCTGTTTGTGTAGTTTTTCTTTTTCGATGTAGCGGGTTTATGGTGGGAGATACCAATGCGACTAAACACCAATTAGGTAACTGATAATTTTGTAGCCAATGGAGGTTATTTGTATGAAATCTAATCATTTCCTCGGCTTTATCAGCCTGTTTGTATATAGGTGAAAAGTGAAGAAAATGTTCAATATGTAGGACTATGAACAGATTTTTGATCGTTGTGTTATTTGTCTTACCATGATAGCATTAGTTCATAGAGTAATAGAGCATTCAATGTTTTGTTCTAGCTGGCAGATTTAAAAACCGACAAAACTTCGATAATTGACCAAACCAAAATTGATTGTTTTTCTTCAAGAAGTTGCTTCTGTTTGATCGGTTTGGAATTTTTCAATTTATTTGGTGAGCAGTTTGTAGAAGTTTAAAACCGCAAAACAGAACATATGATAATAAATAGCTTAGTTTACACAATTGACTTGAATTAGGTACATTGAATGATTATTTTGAAGGGGTTTTTTGTTGTTGTTATTATTATTATCAACATCATCATCGTCGTGATTATTATTATAATAAAGAAAGCCTTAATGAATAATGACTATCAACCAGGCATGCATGAATCTAGCTACTTATAAAGGCACATGTTTCATTGCTTTAGCTACTTCTAAAGCGACACAATAAAAACCTTATTGGCATGCATGGATTCAGCTACTGGTACAGACACATATCTTATTACTTTAGCTAGTTTTATTATTTTACCTATTAATAAATCCGAACATCACAAACTTTTACCTTTCAGTTATTTTCAATAGACATCACAGCTTGCTTATTATTTTATTCCTCTATATAAATTGCAATCTTTATTCTGCAAGCACCAACTAGGATTATAATTTTTTTTTTTTTTTTTGTCTTTTGAATAAATTAGTTGCACATTAGATCCAGAGATATTACTAGTCATTAATTAGCTAGATGTGCGTTTTAACCAAAGCCATATACATACTCCAAATTCCAAAAGTCAATAAAATTAGCACACCCCTAGATTTCTTAATGACCTCAAGGGTTATTTTATCTTTCTAAGAAACATAAAGGCATGAGTTAATTAGTTACCATTGGTGGACATTACACTATGTTAACTGGTATAATCTTATTTTAGCAATCATAATTAAAAATTCATAATCTATATATATATATATATATATATAAATATTTCAAATAAATAGTACTTGTGCCGAGATATAAAACTTTGTCTACTTTAGAGTTCCGTTGAACATACCAGAGAGAGAAGAGTAGCTACTTATAGCAAAAATACAAGACGAATTGTTGCAATGATAATTATGATATGTCAAGTATGTTAATTCTAGACTTCAACGCAAAGAAGATGGAAATTTCTTCTTCTGAATTTATAGTTCCCAATAATCATTATTCTCATTTCATGAGTATTCCTTATACAACAATTTCTGATTGGGTGCAACTACATATCAGAGAATGCACTCAGAAGGCTCGTCATGAATGTCTCCTTGCGCGTGATACTCCTTTTCAATATATTCGATGCCTTAGTCATGAAGATAGGCTATGCAAAGAAGAACATTGTGCCAAGGAGGAACGCGAGAAGCGAAAGCTTCGTGAGGAGGAATTAGAATGCGAGAGGCAAAGACTCCGTGAGCAACAAGAGATTCGTGAGAAAGAATTAGAACAAGAGATTCATGAGAAGGAATTAGAACGCGAGAGGCAAAGACTTCGTGAGCAACAAGAGATTCGTGAGAAGGAATTAGAACGTGAGAGGCAAAGACTTTCGGAGGAGGAAAGGAAGAAGAAAGAAGTTTGCGAGAGGCGCGGGAGAGAGTTGATCAGGATCAAGCCATAAAGGTGTATTATAGCTTTTCTCTTGATCTCTTCAATCATGTACAACCCTCTACGTGAATGGGTGGTGTAGTTATGTGTAATTATTGTACGTCAAACTTTCGGTTGCATGATGAAACTTTGACAATATTAGTTTGTACTTCAATAAAAATTAATTACATCATAGTTTTGATTTTATGCTTATCATACATATAGATATGTAACATGATATAATTCCAAAAAATATCGAGATGAAAAAGTATATATTTCATATTGTCAAAAATAATTAAATATGAGGTTCATGCTAATCAAAATACAATATTATACATAAATCTTATGAAAATCATATTATTGCAATGATAATTATGATCATGTATCAAGTATGTTAATTCTAGACTTCGACGTAAAGCAGACGAAACTTTCTTCTTCTGAATTTGTACTTTCAATAACCATTATTCTCATTTCGGTATTCCTTAGACACCGACTTCTGATCGGGTGCAACTACATATCAGAGAATACAGTAGTTCAGTGGACGTAGGCATCATTAATGGTTGAAATACTTCTATAAATATATGTATGTGTGTATATATATATTTGTGTTTCATCTTCTGTGATTGGAAGGATATTGAAATTCATGTTTTTAAAAATGTTAAACAAATCCTTAAGTGGGTTAAGGAAAAGAGATGAGAGCTACAAGGATCGAGAGGTTTAGAAACGTTTTGATTAATCAAAGTTTATTTGCAAAATAAGGAATTAATTATTACTAATAATTATTCTTTTATAGCAACATGATAGAGAAAATTTCAAATTTAACTATTGTTTTTTCTAACTATATTTGTGTCACCACACAAAATTTTGGTGCTACTACGAAAAATAACCTACAAGATACGAAGTAATGACCTACAGGTTACGAAAGATAACATTTAGGTTATGAAAGATAACCCGCAGTTTATAAAAGATAACTTGATAACCTACATGTTATTAGTGACATAAGATAAATTTAACAATAGTGGTAGAAATAAAATAGTGTTACTTTATTGATGACATTTTTGAAAGTTCCCATATATTGATCTTATTATTATTTTTTTAAAAATAAAATCCAAAAGCTAGTGGATCTCACATATAGGGCCGTCAATACGGATCACACCACGATAATATAACTCGAAAACGACATGAATTATCGTGGATTAGGGTTAGAAAATATGTGTTATGAGTCGGATTTGGATCGACTTTTGAAATTGATACGAAAAATATAGGTCAATTTTGATTGGGCCCGCTTAACTCAAACATGATGTGAAACTTATAAAAATATTTTCTAAAGAACATCTTTCGCACTTTGTTATGAACTTGTAATCTTATGATTGTTATTCTCAAAATTTTATGTTATTGTTTGCTTAATTTTGATGGATGTTATCATATTGTAATGGATTATGAATTTTATGTTCTTTATAATGTGTAGAAAACTAAAAAAAAAAGACTATAATTTTTGTGTCAATCTCGGGTTCACGGGTCAAAATGTTCGTGTTCTGTCATGCCAATCCGTAAAGTGGTCGTGTTATAATTTTCAAAATTTTCGTGTTATAGGTTGTGTTCAGGTTGAGTGAAAAAGTAACAATGAAAATACAACAGTGATATGAATTGTCTTGCAATTCTTGAGTGATCAATTAAGGGTGTGGTTTGGCCCGCACAACTATGTGAATTGAGTCTAGGGATCATGCGACCTCAAGAATCCTTTTTATCAACTATGTTGTTCAATTTTTAGTGTCTTAATTAGTGTCTAACCAATTACAATAGGACACGTCATTTAATAGATCTAAATATCAAAACAAAGAAAAATAAAAAAAATATATTTTAAATTTTTAAATGATGTGATACAATCTGATTGAAAGCGATGGAATTAAAGAGCAATGACCAAGTACTAATGCATGTTTTGCCAGTTAGTAGAACCATTTACATGAACTCTTATGTTGTTTCTTATGCCCGACTTGTTGCTTGATAAGCAATACTAAATTTGTCAATATTTGTATGGACTCATTTGCTCCAAAAATAATCCAAAAGTCAAGAATAAGTACAACTAGATTTCTTAATGACCTCAAGGATTATCCAACTCTTTCTAAAGAAGCACAAGACATGAGTTAATTAGTCACCGTTGCTAGACATTGCACTCAATTAAAAGGTAGAATCCAAATTAAGCAATCAATATTAAAAGTTCGTTATCTAAACATATACACACACACACAAACACATAGATTTCAAATAAAGAGTAACAATATAAAATTACTTTTGTCTACTTTGGAGTTTCGCTGAACAAAAAAGAGAGAGAAAATAGCTATGGATAGCAAAGATACAAGAGGAATTATTGCAATGATCATGTCAAGTATGTTAATTATTATAGACTTCGATGTAAAACAGTTGAAATTTTCTTCTTCCGAATTTGTACTTCCTAATTATCATCATTCTCATTTCGGTATTCCTTATACAATTAATTTCGATCGGTTTCAACTACACAAAGAATGCAGTCAGAAAGTGTTACAATCATATGCCACGTATTGGTCTGCACGTGTTCAATTGCATGTTTGGAACGTGAACTTCTTTTTCGTTGAAGACTTGGTCTATATTTTAATAAAAGATTGTTATTTAATTTCCTTTTGATTCAGTCAAACACGTTTCTACACGTTGATAGTTAGCTGCTAATTTATCTCATTGTAACGTTGGTTTTTGAGCCTATTTATTGGCTGCCAGATGTGGAATAAAGGATAACTATTCAAATCCATTTATTTGTTTGTATCGCTTAATAGCATATAATACCCTTTGTTGTTCTTTTCCATTTCAAAAATAGCTCGCAGGCGTAACGTCCAGTTCCAAGGATGAGGCCGAGGCCGTGGATCCGCACACTACCAAAAAAAAAAGTCTTTTGATAGCGTTTATTTATAGTGTTTTTGAAAAAACGCTATTAAAACTTACATTAATTACATTTTATAGCGTTTTAAAAAAGTTATTTTCGGTAGATATATATATATATATATATATGTATGCAAGGTCTCTGTCAGGCACTTGGAAAGTGTCTGACCAGAATGACATTTGTACATTTTTATATGAAGTGTGTATATTTACAGTAAGTTGTGTATATTTACAGGTAAGTTGTGTATATTTACATGACACTTGTATAATTATGCAATCATGTATATTTACATGTAAATCGTGTATATTTACATATAAATCATGTATGTTAAGTTATAAGAAACGATAATGTATATTAATCCTCAAAACATGTTTTTTTATAGCAATTAGTGAACACATAGCATAAAAATATATATCGACTAATTTATTGTATTTCATGTTAAATATACATGACTTTATATGTGCCTGTCTGATCAGAGACCTTACCTATATATATATATATATATATATATTAAAAAAACATGAAATATTTTAGCTGATTTTGAAAGT